CTCCTCATATATATATATATATAGAGAAAGAGAGATTTGATTTCTAATATTTTATATTATTCATTTTTTTTATTTTTTTATAACCTAAAATTAGGTAAATAATGATTATTATTATTTTTAATATTATTGTAATTTATATATAATGTTATTTAAATAATTATAAATTTTTATTAAAAAAATAAGTTGTTTAAGAAATAATTTTTGATAAATTCTTTGTAAACCTTTTAGAAAAATTTCAAGAATGACTATAATTATAATGATTTTTTATATATAAAAGTTAAAACGTTTTATAAAAAGTTATGTTGTATCTGAAAAATATTCTTCAAAAATTATTAACTTTATAAATTTTATAAACAATTATTTCTACCTTAAATATTGATAAAAGTTTTATACTTTTAAGTAATAAATATTTTTAATAAAATACTACCACTGTTCCTATATATAAGACTTAATTATTTAATACTAAGATTAAAAAAAGTAATTAATTCAATTAATAACAATAAATTTTATTCTATTCATATATATATTTTTTTAAATTATGGTTATACTACTTCTCTTTTCTAATTAATATTCATGTATTTTCTAATTAATTAAAATGTATGTCCTATATATTATTATTATTTAATTAATATTAATATTTATCCTAATCAATCAAATATATACTCTTTAAATAGTTTATAATTAATGCATTTTATCAAATTAAACAAATACACTTTAATTAAAAAAATATTTTAATATAAAAATAATTAATATATAAGACAAGATAAATTGAATCTTATAAAAATAATGAGTCATGAAAATAATACTTTTTTCACCTAATTGAAATACTTGTGACTCTAGATATCTCATTTATTAATAAATATTACTCCATTATATATTTGATCTATACAAAACATTTATTATTTTTATTGAAAAGTACAATATTTATTAAGAAATGGGAAAAAAAAGATAAAGTAATTAATATGTTATTAATTTACAAATATCGATATCTTTATTTATACAAAATACTCCAAAGTAATACACTAGTAATATATTTTAAGGCATGTGTCAAACTGTAGAATGTGAGATTGATCAAATGAAAAATGGAAAGAAGTTACATTTAATTTTTTGTATCCTAAGTCACTCTATCCGGTTTGCCTTTCAAACTTCTAGATTTAGACAAAGTATGTATTTATTTATTATTAGTAGTAGTAAATGTAGAATAGTCTTGATTAAAAAATTATAAAACATTTATCATTTTGTATCTTTTATTAGTGAAAAATATCTTTAAAGAAATTAATATTTTCAATAAATTTTTAAAATAATTGTCATTGATAATTAATTTGAAATTATATTTAATTATTATGTACATGTATATCTGTAATTTTATTATAAACCAATATATTAATGATTACGAATTTGATTGAATTTTTAATTTAAAAAATAATTAATTGTATAATATTTTTTTGCAAAACTTAATAATTAAATATTATTAATTATAAGAAAAATAATATATTTTTCGGTCAAAATTACAATGTTCTTACAATTAATATAGAGTAGTTGATAATTTAAAATTATATTTTAAATATATATATATGTATATATATATATATATTAATTACGAGAAATATAATAATATAATATTTAAATGAAATAGTATGTATTTTAAAAAATTAAATAGGATTTCATTATAGTAATAATTTACTTGTATATATATTTTTTAAAGAAGATAATATATAATATACTTTTAAATTCAATTTCCAGTTCGATAAAAATAATATAAAAATTTCAATATATTAGTTATTATGATGGTATATAATCTAATATATCATTTTTATTAACAATTTTTTTAATTGACTAGTTTATGTGGAAAAAGATGTTATAACCATTATTCAACGGATTAGAAATTAGTATTTTATTAGTATGCGTATTTAGGGAAGCTGCACAGTAGTGATCATCAAGTGTGAGTGGTGCAAATGATGAACAAAGCCCTTATAGTGTGTTTGGATGAGGAATTTTACAAATTCAAGGAATTTTAAATTCTTGGTATTTGAATTACTTTGATTTCAATTTCTATTATTCTTAAAATATTTTGTTTGGATGAGTCAATTCAAATTTCTTAAATTTTAAATTGTTAGGTTGAATATGATAATTTTATTCCATCATAGTAAAATTGATTTTAAAAATATATTTATATGTTGAGATTTTTAAATTAAATTTTATAAAAATAAATATTAATCTATTTTTAAATATTTATTAATTTTAAAAATTAATATTAGATAATATTTAATAATTTTAACAATTAATATTAGATAATGTTTAACAATTTTAAAAATATTTTTGAATATCTAATAATTAAAAAAATGAAGAGATAAGATAAAATATATAGGTGAAATAAGAAAAACAAATATGAGGAATTTCAAATTCTCCCATTTTTGGGAAAATTTGAAATTCTACTATTTTAAGGAATTTGACAAATGCTTGAATTTCAAATTCTTTGTAAATTCCTCATCCAAACAAAGCATTTCACCTCAAAGAATTTGAAATTCTTCAAATAAATGAATTA